CCCTCTTTTATTAATCCCGTTCTGACAGAAACTCATTGAGAAGGATTGGTTGCACTTTGGTCATAAGTTCACTGATCGGTGTGGCCTGCTTAGCAGTGGCGATTCCCGAGAGTGTGCTCCCGTATTCACTCAGTTCCTGGACTGTCTGCGACATCTACTGGAACTGCTGCCCGCCGAATTTGAGTTCACTCAACGCCTCCTGCTCGAACTGCACGATCAAAGCCGCTCAGCCCTGTATGGGACATTTGTTGGCTGCTGCGAGAAGGATCGTGTTGATCTTAAGTATGTCTACCTCTGCGCCTAACTATCGCCTCCATCCGTCAGCATGTTAGTTTCTACTTCCTCATAGCGGCTGGTAGTCCCGCCTATTATCCTACACAAGACTGGCCGTTGGATTGCGTTCAATAGAGAGAAAATAACTGGGTGGCCAATGGTCCTGTAGCCCCACTTGGTCGTTACCTAATAGTATGCTTACTTAAACTATTTGAGTAGTCACAATTATGCTGGCTTGCATTATCTTGGGAAGTTAAGTACAAGGACTTTGTGTTGCGGTTGGAGAGTATAGAATGAGGCTGTTTTGTGATTGAGGTTATGTGATGTTGGACTAGGCATTGGGATTTAGGATTAGGACCAGAGCAATGGAGTTTTGGTCTAGGACTGCCGTTAAGAACTTTGGGATTTGGTTTCCGGCTAGTTTAGTACTTAGGTCTAGCAGTTGGGATTAGTATTTAGGGCTAGTAGTTGGGGTTAGTGGTTTGTCTTAGCCCCAAATCCAACCTCAATCCCCAGGTCCTAATTCTTAACTCCAATCCTTTGTTCAGCGCCCCTAAACCTAAGCCCATACCTTTATTCCCAAAATTATCTGATAGTAACCTTCCTAAACAATTCCCCACAATCCCTATCCATGACTGTCCAAGAGTATGCAAGTAAGCGTAATAATGGTTACTGAAGTCCTTTCAGCAAGTATCCCAGAAGGTAACCGCCAAGTGGGGCTGTAAGACCACTTGTCACCAATAACTGTTGTCCAACGAACACATGCACACAATTATTAGTTCATCATAAGCGATAATTTCCACAGCTGTCCCATTGAGAGTGCAGTGAGAGCTTTCATGCCAACCTGCTGGAGCAGCACTTTTTCGGCACTCACCGCGCTCTAGTGGAAAGACTAAACCAGTCCAACTGGAGATGAATTTAGAGACAGTGGCTGATAATGTCCCGTCTGCGTGTGTGGCACTCGTTTTGATCCATCACAGATAAACCATTGCCTTGAAATATTTCTCAAACGAAAGTAGGTGATTGCGTGTTGTGCTAACTCCTTTTAATTGGTTTCTCAATAAGCCATGTCACAGTAGATTTTCCATATTAATACCTTTACAGTAAAGTTCCACAGACCTCTATCTGTATAGAAAGCAAGCGAAGAATCGCTTTTGCCAAGGCTCCATAAATCTTGTACCAATAGTTACATATGCACCTGCGAATTTTGCTTGGCACGAGAAGCGCGTAGGCGAAATGACATAATGTTATTAGGGGTTACAGTGCACTCGAAGGAAGCATATTTACTTTGGAGGGATTGCAGA